TAGCTGCAAGGCCACTGGAGTGGGCTGTTCTGTTTGGGGGCCGAATGGGAACAAAGAGTACCCTTTGTTGGAAGGCAGAAAGGGAGAAAGGAGGGCTTGTCACGTATTTCTCTTTCTGTGAAATTTATGTGGAAGAGCCTGTAATGTACAGTTCATTTGCACTTATTTGTCAAAAAAATGCAGATCTGGTGGAACTGTTCGGTTGAAAAAATGTTGCCATGAAGAATGTTACTCTTTCAAATGCAAAAAAAATAAAAATAAAAATAAAAAATCTGTCGAGAGAGATGATTCCTGAAGTGTAAAGGAATTGCAGGAGTGTAAGTTTCATTTTTGAGTGGACAGTTTGAGAGTGGTACAATCTGCCCTGGGCTAAATACATTCTTCATTACTTCAAATCTTTCATTCAAATTTAACTGTTAAAGATGTGTTAGCAATTCCCAAAGGTATTGTGAGCACAAGGAAGAAAGAACAAATGAGAAGTTTTGGCCTATTCTGTATAGTCAGAATAGATAGTCATCGTGCCTTTAATCTGTGGATGACAAATGGGATTCAAAAGTTTTGTAGTCAAAGTTACACGTTTGAGGGGCTTCAAGGTTGAATGGGCAGGTAGAAAATGTATGGAAAGAATCAGAAAGACTAGAACTGTTCAGAGGGGAACTGAAAGGAGTCTAAAATAATGCAAGGAGTGGCAGAGAGTAAGGCAGTATTGTTTTCCAGTTTAAAATTAACATAACATTCTGGTTTTAATACAAGAGGATTGAATCTATGATTTAATTCTCAAGCTAAATATTTCTACACGAACATATTGGGGCAAATGGAGCACAGAGGAGACTGAGAGGGTGTAATGGACTGCCTTCCTATTGAAGACTGTATCCCTGTGGGTTAAACCCTTGTGCTGTGAAATGCCTGAAGCTATTAACCCCTCTCTTCTGCTGTAGTTCAATGTATGACTTAATGCGACATAGAGTAACGTTCTTTAGTGGCAGGGGGTTTGTCTTTGGCACTGGTTTAGCTTAGGATACTTCATTCCTATGTAGGCAACACTTGTGCAAAATTTGTCTTGCAGAACATAAGGTAAGTGTATTGAACAGTGCTTGTATTGCATTATTTCCTTTGGTAAGAGATACATTTATTTTTAATAATTGAAAGCCAAAACCGGTATTTTGTTTGGTTACTGTTTTGTTCAGTCTTTGTTCTGACAAAATCACTATTGTGTTGCTTTATTCCAGTGGAAAATGACTACCTGGCACGATCTTTGTGCAAGTAGCTTACCCAGAGCCAGTAATATTAGCCTTCTTAATTTTATGTGAGCAAATTGTGAATCTTAAACATCCACTCAGGAGTCTCTCATAAGAGAATCCCAGACACGGAGAACCACAGAAAGTCTAATGACAAAGTTAGCATAAAGCCCAAAGATAGCAAGTATAGCAAGAAGTTCAGAAATAGTGCTTGGGGCTGTATTTTTCCAGGGATACTTCTGATCTTTGGTTTGCATTTTTCAGTACTAGACTGGTTTATAACAAAGACGATATATTTGCTTTTTCCTTGGTGTTTTCCTGAATATTGAGCAGTTGAAACAGATCTGGTTTTTCAAAATTATTTTTGTTAATACCTGGAGATTCCTCTTTATATATGTTCTGGTGTGATTCATAAGGTCTGCCATGCTTTTTTTACTCCATATTTTAGTAGTGCTTTAATCACAGTCAGAAGACTAAAACTGAATTTAGTACAAGTAGAGCAACACCAAAAATTCAATCACTTCTGAATTTTGAACCTTCAAAAGTCACCTAGGTTCTTCTCTGTTAGCAAATTTTAAGCATGACGGTGAAGTTGAATTGGTTTACTGCTTGTTTTTAAACTCGGTGGTTGTTTCCTCCAGGAATCCTTCTAACAGGATTCTGTTTGCCTGAAAGAGGTGTCTGGTTTTATCAGCATCTGTCAGAGTAAATCAGAATCTCTATGGAAATTAGCTCATTAGTATTAATTTTTTGGCAATGTCTGACTGATTCGTCAGCTGCCTTGCCATTAAAAAAAAAAAAAAAACAACTTGTTGAAAGGAAAACCTTCCATAAAATTACTAATGACTAATTCTTCAGTGAATCAAGGCTTCAACTAATGGCAATAAACAAGTGGATACCCCTTGTCTTCTGACAGTCCCCACACTTGCTGAAGCCCAAGTGCTGCAGGCTCACATTGCGTAGCATATACCAATGCAAATACTCCTTTTGGACTCTGTATGCTTCCTCTGTGAATCCTTACTAGTCAGTGTGAGTAATGCCTGCAACAGTTTTACTTAAATTAATAGTTTAAAATATGTAACTCAGTTCACAGTAACTACATAACAATTCTTCAGATCTCATAAGTTTCCACTATTTATTTTTAGCAGAATATATACAGTTAAGTTTTGAGAAAATGGTCTCTGTAGTTGTCTGTAGTAACAAACCTGGTTATTGCTGGCATGGTTATTTTTCTTTCATTATGGATATTTCTTCTGAGTATTTGTAGCAGTAGTTTTGTAATCACACATTTTTCCCCCCGATTACTTTCCCTTTTATCAAAGTTAGAATTGTTTCTGTTCACTGTTGAAATACAAGCTTTTTAGAACCTTGGGTGAGAAGTGCCATGATATTGCAGATCACTTTTACTTGTTCCATATTATTTACTTTCAAAGACTGTCTTTTTGATGAATTAACATCACTATTTGCTATGTAATTTTCTTTGTTCTAAAGATAAGATAAAACAGTGACAAGTGAAGTATGTCTTTCATATTTTTTATAGATATTTCAGAGCTCTTTGCCTTCAGTTATAAATAAGCATGGAAGATAAAATTTGAAAAGTCTAATGCAATAATTAAATGAATATAACAGGTCTGCTGAAGAGTTGCATAAATGGACATTGATACAGCACTTAATGTATGTAGGTGTGAGCAACTTAAACTATAGTTCTGCAAAGTATTACATAGTTTAGGAGAACTACATGATTTGCAGGTTTTCTGTTAACTTTCAGTTACCATTTCTCATACTGTACAAAGCCTGCTATGTTTATAAGGCCTTCTAAAAAGTTTATCAGTGTTATCTCATCATTTTTATCACTATAAGGGTATGTTTAACTATAGTAACTTAATACAAGATAGGCAAAAATAAATTATCAGTGTTGTACGTAGAGTTTGAAATTTTTTTGGCTAGTTCTTATTTAGAAATAATATCCAGATTGCTCATATTGCTTGTTTATAAGCATCTGTTTCACTAGAAATTCTCGTCATGTGGATGCAGGTTTAGTACTGGAGTGTCACTTCTTTTTAAATAAGTGGCTATGAATATTCCAGTGGTTTTGAATAGCAATAATATACTAAATATACAAGCAGATTTAGTATTTGCTTTGCATAGTAATTCCAGTTGATAAATGGCGATTTATATGTTGTGTTTATTAGAGCTCTAACTGTTAATCTCATATGGAAATGTTGCTTTGTAGGGCAAAATTCAGTGAGAGGGCCTGGGATTCCAGAGTGAACTTGTACATTCCTTCAGGGCATTTTTGCAAGGGAGGTTGTTGTGTTTTAAAGGTAGTTGATAAGAGACCTGCACCACCAACCCCAGACCTGCACCACCAACCTCCATCATGCATTAGTCTATAGAAGGTATTTGGGTGAACATACTCCTGTACCACTCCGTACCACCATTTATCCAAGTGAAATTTTTGACCATTTGCAGGATACGTTATAAATCAGGATGTCACTACTAGACAATCAGATTTGAACATTCCTTGCATAAAGTAGCTTGCCTATATCCCTTAGGAATACATCATTTAACTGTGTTTATGTGACAGTGTTGATATGCCTGGTTTTACATGAAAGTTAGGGTAGCGCGTTATTTATGTCGTCATGAATTCAAAAAGTAGGTGGTTGTGTTTTATGTATACTAAGGTTATCTTCTCTGGACAAATCACTTAGAATAATTGAAAGATGTAGTTTTATCATATGACTATTAATTGAATCAGGAAACAGGATTTTTTTTTTCTTCAGAGTTAAGCTTTTCTACTGCCTCAGGTTTTTCAGTGTTCTCTGAGGTGCTGACAACAGATTAACATGAAACAGAGCTCTGTTGAACCTAATTGCATTATGGCTCATTGTTTTGGGGACCTATAAAACTGTTGACTCCCTTTTTATGAGGCCGTAGTCACAACAAAAGGCCATAAACAGTACATTTTCTCCTTCCTATGGTACTGGAGATTTCATTAGTTGACTCTAATAAAAGCCTGATCCAGCTGCATTTACACCTAGGAATGAACGTGTCTTTATCAGGTCTTAATCCTTAGTAGTTCAAGCAGGAGGGAATGACAGCAGGAGAGCTTTTGATCAGCCATAAATGTCTGAAAGCTTAATTTCTTTTAAAATTATTTGCTATGCAGATGTTGACTGAAGACATGCTTTCCTGTACTTCAGAGGAAAGACTTTACATATTAGAGCATTATTAAAAAACAAAACAAAACTGAGGACTTTCTAGACTTTCAAACAGTCACTGCTGAAATGAGATTTCCACATCAGATAAGTGGATTCTATTATTAATTTTTATTTTTATTTTTTTTAAATCCTTGGAGGCTCTAGGGAGGACTGATGTTTAGCATGTTTAGCCCTTAGAAATAACATGGAAAATTATGTCATGCCTTTATTTAAGTCTGTACTGTTTGTGAATTTAAAATTGATACATTCATTTTTTGGCTGAGAAGGTATATATATATATCTATATCTATATATCTCTCTCTATATATATATATAAAACTTATTTATATTTTTGTGTTATCTTAATGTTATTTTCCCTCATTTCCATGCTGTAAGGTGATGGATAGATTACAGTTGTTTGACAGGAATGCACTCCACTGTCTGTTTTTATATGCTGGTACTGCTAACCGGCTTATTACTCTGCTTTACCACAGGATGTGAGCAGGGTCAGTTCCGCTGTGGAAATGGT